CCAGGAGCTCCAGACCTATGTGCATATGGGGAGCACAAACTAGACTCCATGGATTACTTCAAAAAAAAAAAAAAAAAAAGTCATGAAGTTGAGCTGGAAGGTCAAATATAACCAAAAGACAGTGTACACATGTATGAAATTCTCAAAGAATAATTTAAAAATGCTATGTTTTAAGTGTTTCGGCCAAAGCAGGTGGTACACACCTGTAAGCCCAGCTCTTGAGAGGCTGGGATGGTATATCCATGAGTTTGAGGCCAGCCTGGCCTACAAAGCAAGAATCTCCCCCCACACACACAAAAAAAGCCATAACCTCCTAGATACAGTCTCCAGTTCTGTCTCCTGTGTGAGCTCAGGCCTCCATTTCCACCTTCAGAGACACATGATGGTTCCGCCATGTTTTTCTGAAAATGAATGTTGGCCCCATTAAGTCTGCCTGATGTCAGTAGCTCTTTAGAGGAATCTGGTAAGGACCAGACACAGGGGTGCACATCTGTCCCTGAGCTTGGAAGACTAACTCACGAGACCAAGGCAATCTCAACCAGTCACAGATAAATAAACATGAATGATTGATTTGTTATTCATTTATTCAATAAATATGACTTATTTGTTTTCTTGGGGTTTTTTTTGTTTTGTTTTGTTTTGTTTTGTTTTTGAGACAAGGTGTCATGTTGACCAGGCTGGCCTGGAACTTGCTATGTGGCTGAGGGTGACCTTGAGCTCCTGATTCTCCTGCCTCCACTTCTCAAGTGCCAGGATTATAGGCATGCACAACGATGTCCAGTTTATACAGTCCTGGGACTCAAACCCAGTACCTTGTGTATGCTAGACAATCCCCCTACCAACTGAGCCACATCCCCGGCTCCTTTACTTATGCTAGGAGGAATTACAAGCGTCTGTGCCGGACAGTTGTATCTCCTTATCCCTGGTGTAAGATGTGTGAGGAATTCAATAGTGAGCAGCCATTGATACAAAGCAGAACTCTGTACATAGAGTAAGAAGAAAAAGTCAGGCAGTGGTGGCACACACCTTTAATCTCAACACTGGGGAGGCAGAGGCAGGCAGATCTATGTGAGTTCGAAGGCAGCCTGGTCTACAGAGTGAGTTCCAGGACAGCCAGGGCTATACACAGAAACCCTGACTGGAAAAAGAAAAAGAAGAAAAAGAAAAAAGCCACCTGGTGGAATTCAAAGAGGAACACAAACAAGAACTCCACTTAAGTAATTCTGCTTCCCACTAAGACGTGGTAACATCCATGGAACTGCCATGTTTCAGTCATTCTCCTCTTCAACGTGGTTAGGTCGTGGGGACTAGCAACAAAATAATATGAAGAGCTATTGTGCTGTTGAGTGTTATGTCACCTTGACAGAAACT